ATTATTATTATTATTATTACTATTACCTTTTTTTGCCTACGAGGGGGAACTGCGTTATGCATACCCGTAAGTCCGGTTATGTCGGACTCTCCAGCGTGGCACACCGACTAAAACCTAACCTCCTGGATTCACATGGGCTGTGGTATCCTCGGCGCGGGACCGTCGCTGAGACATTACTTCACTCAGAAGTTTGCTTGAGAGCATGAGCTTTCCTCTTCAGATGGTCACTATGGTATTTTAGCTCTCTCTGCTTTTAGTAGTGGCTTTCTGTTTTAGTATGTGAGCCATAAAGTCTCGCACTGTTTTCCAGTTGTCTCTGGATTGCAGCATAGTCTGGGCTGTTTGCACGCGTTAATTCCCGTCGCAATTTGATGTAGCAGTTTCTTCTTCCCAAGCTTTGCAACTATATATGCACACATAGCGTCGTCTTCATGACATAGTGCACATATCGATCTTTAAGCGATTTTAAATCTGTATAGATATGCTTGATATTTCCCATGCCCAGAGAAGGCTCGCGTCAAGTCCATTGTGCCATAGTTTCTGCTGGTCCAATCCTTGATGTTAGGGACAAGGCTGTGTGTCCATCTACCTTTGTACTCCAGGTCCCATCGGTTTTGCCACTGGTGCAGGAGGTGGTTTCTCAATTCCGCTTTAATACTGTCTAATTGTCTTTTGAACAGGGTTTGTTGTTTATCTGCTGTCGTCCTCAAATACAGTGTCCTCCTTTCCTGGGCTAAAAGGTCCACTGGGGGGACACTGGCCAACACTAAGGCTGCACTGTTGGATACCGTGCGATATCCTGAGATTATCCTTAGAGCCATCCTTCTCTGGATCTGTGTGAATTTCCATCGAATGGACTTATTAGCTAACGCATCTGCTCACACTGGGGCAACATACAGCATTTTTGAGTGCACTACGGCAGAAATTAAACTTCTTTTGCTTTCACTGGGACCTCCTGAGTTCAGCATTATTCTGGAAAGATTTGATCCAGTCTTTGCAACTTTTCCTCTTGATTTTATAATATGGGGTCCAAAGCTCAATCGTAAATCAATTTCCACCCCCAGGTATGTAATATGCCGTTTCCATTCAATAAGTTTCTCCCCAGTCGAATCACCGGGGGCGGAATGCTCTGCGGCTTGTAATCAACACGGCCTCCTTCTTGGCAACAGCCATTTGGAGATTTCTTTGACCCAACCACCTTTTAACCCTGCATAGTGTTTCGTTGGTCTTCATTTCCAGTAGTTCCACGTCACTGTGGCATATAATTAGTGTGTCGTCGTCGTAGCCTATGAGACTGGAGTTCTTTGGAAGTTCGATATTTAGCAGATCGTCATATACAGAGTATTCCACAGGAAGGGGAACACCGCACGTCATGTCTTCCTCAATCCTATACCCGTTAGTGTAAATTATTTCCCTCTGAGGTAGTCCTCCAGGATCCTCCTAACATATTCAGGGATCTTCCTAGCTACAAGGGCTTGTATGACGTCTTTCCAGCTGACAGAATTAAAAGCATTTTTGATGTCAATCGCAACCTAGGCACAAAAACTTTTATTTCTTTTTGCTGTTTCTGCACGGTGGACTGCTTCTGAGATCGCGTTTATTGTCGAGAGTCCCTTTCTAAATCCAAACTGTCTCGTTGAAAATTGGACATGTCTCTTTAGTCTTAGAAGGAGTCCAGTAATTTGCTCATCGTATCCAGCAGGCACAAAGGTCTGAACGATGACGTCCGATCGATTGGCTTGTTACCTTTCCGCAGGAGAATTAGCTTCTGATGTTTTCAACCCTTATAGAATATCCCTTGTTCAAGACACCGGTTAAAGGCTTTCAAATATGTTGACAATACATTGAACTGGTCCTCTGCAGTCCTTGGCCAAGTTTCTCTTTTTGCCACGTTTGTAGCATACTTCACTTCTGTCGGGGCCTTAGCAAGAGGTGGAGATATGGCCAAAGCCTAGACATTTAAAGCATCTGCTGACACGGCGCTTCATCCTAACGTGGCAGGTAAGCCAGCCTATCTCAAAATTCTCTACTTTGAGTAGAATTTCTGCCTGGCGCGAAGGGAGCAGTGCAGTCGCTACCTGTCTGCCTCCGTACACCTGGTATCGTCTCCAGATCGTTGGGGGGAAGTCCCCCGTAATGCGTGTGACATCTCTTACTTCATCTAGGGTGACAGACTCATCGTTTTTCCTTAATTCAATTTAAGTTTTGGGGTTAAACGTATTGATATTTATCCTGTCTCCTATTGCACGGGTGACTGCTTCGTTTAGGAAAGTGGGGTCACAATCTTTCTCCAGGTCTAACAGGAGTTAATTTTTACGTGTCCTCCTGATCGTCTGGATATTAGCGTTGTGTTGCTTCGGGTCAACCGCTTCCTTCATTCTTTTTAATATTTCGGCATAAGATTGCCCTTCGTTGGCCTGGTTGATGGGTCTTCTGTTCCTTGCCTTGGGGGTTTGATTACCTTCTTTGATGGAACTCTCTTTTTTCTGCACCGTCTTTCTGTGTTCCACCTTCTGCCAGTTCTCATCGGGGTTTTGGTTTGGTTTTTCAGTAACCAGCTCTATGACTTCTTCCTGCTTGTCTTGTCTGGCCTCTCGTCTTGTAGTGAACTTGGAGCTAGTCTCTTCTGATACTGTGCCGTTTTCAACAACTTCCCTTTCATCTGTTTGCTGAGTTTAGTATCCTCGGCCTTTTTGCCATTCTCTAGGAGGATTATTTTCTCATCCCCTTTTGGGCTTCTTTAATGTTTTCCGACCTTTTCTTTAGGGCATACACCTCTTCTAGAGCTATAGCAAAGGTGTGCTTCACTATAACTGGGTTGTTTTTCTGAATGTTGATGTGATAATTAACTCTAGACGGGCAATAATCTCCGAATTGTCTTCTATCAATTTTTGAGTCATCACCCAGTTATCTGATGTCCAGCCCCTCGTATTACTATCCCCTGCCGACATGGGCTCTTCTTGGACCTGGGTTGCCTCGTCTCCTGTGGGTACACCAGTTGTCGTGGGGGTACTTGAAGGTGATCTCCACAAGTTTTGACTTCCCAGAAAAGGGTTTAAAACCTGCTTGCTCTAGGCTTTCGCTTGTTGCAGTATAGCATTTCAGAGACGCCAAGCGGTCCACGTCTCTGATATTGCAGTCGCTAGTTGACGACCTCCGGGGGCCTGCTTGCCCACCCCCGGCTGCCGGTACTGGGTCTCCGATCGCCTGCACCGTAACAGTTGATCCTGACGGACCTTTCAGTTTTTTGCCTTATTTTGTGTTCTCTTTTAGTGATTCATCAGTTTTTGTTCTTAAAACGAGTCTCCTGGCTTTAATGCACTTCTTCAGTAGCTCTGGAATCTCTGTAGACCACCAATACACCTGTTGCCTTCTCCCTGGACATCTGCGTCTAGACATAGAAGCTAAACACGCAGCCTTCACTATATCCCTCACTTATTTTACTGTTGCCTCTTGTGTGTACGGCTTCTCCATCCACCCTATGCTGTGCACTAGCCTTGATTCTTCTAGTGACTTTTTGGTCTTTGTTTCTACCAGATTGTTTGTATTCCAGGGTAAGTCGTCCCCTGCGCTTTTGGTGCTCCAATTTATTACCACCCATGCCTTTGCATGAGAACTGAATGTAGCTGTGATACTAAGCGTTTCAGATTTCAGCATCCTTTACTATCTTAGCAATCCCATTTGAGCTTATCATTAGATCCAGTATGGATGCCGCTTCTCCCTTGTGGAACGTTTTAACTTTTCCCGTGTTTAGTATGATTAGTTCACATCTTGCTATAAACTCTTAAACAATGTCCCCTCTTGCTAGATCTCCATTCCCCCCATTCTACTGATTTGCTAGTAAAGTCGCCCGCTACTATCACCTCCCTTGGCAGATTTTATGCTCCTCTCTAGTTCTCTTCCCTTTTTAAATTTATCAATTGGGTTATTTGGGGAAAAACAGAAGCTGTATACCCATAGATCATGCAATTCTACCCATATGATCCCATGCTTGTATTGCCACTATGTATTACTACCGCCTCCCTCCTTTTTTTGCCACGTTTTTTGTCGGTTGTTCCCTAACATCAACAAGTCCACATTTCTTTCAGTTGCAATTTGTACAAGTATATTTTGTGCGATTTTGCTCCTTCCTATGTTAACTCGTAGGTATCTTATTTCGTCGCTTACTTTGCTTGTTGATATTGGCTCTGTATGAGGAGCATTTTCTGCTTCCTAGCATGAGGCCATCATTTAGATTTTTATCCTTGCATATGACACATTGGGATGTCCTGCTGCAGTCTTTTATCTGATACCCTGTTTCTCCGCACTTGTAGCATGTATTTCTACGGTCAGGGCCCGGGCAGTTGGTGGATGTGCCCAAAATCTAGGCATTTGAAACATCTTGTTACTTGTTGCTTCTCGCGCATCTGGCAGTTGACCCATCCTATCTTTATTTTCATTCTTTAGTTGCTGTGAGGCTAGATCTGTAGGTAGCAAGACTGTCGCAGTTTGTGTGCTTGCAAACCCCTTATATAGTGTACGAGATGCCTATTTGTTCGGTCGGTGTGTCTAGGACCCTCCCGATTGCAGGTACTACATAATTTGCTGTAACAGTCTCGTCAATATCTCTAATTTCTACAAGGGTTTTTGGTGAGGTCTAACTATAGCACTCTCCCCGACTGTCTTTACAAGTGCATTGTTGATGATGTGTTCCCTTCTTTGCCAAGAATATTAGTAGATCCTGTTTCTGAGTTATTTTCTTAATGATTGTGTTGTGGCGTTTTAGATTGACTTTAATCTTTGTGAGGACATATTATTATTTTTAGAAAGGGGAAATCCTTTATGGAGACCGGTGAAGCCAGTACTGTTGGACTCGTTCTTCGTTTCCGACTAAAACCCTAAACCTTCATCTCCTAAGTCGTGATTTCTCCCACGCGGAAACCGTCGCTAGACATTACTTGTGGAAGATTGACTGGAAGCTAGTGCTTTAACTCCTCCGCTCCTTCACCTCCTCCACCTGGCTGAGTTAAAGGCGTTTCTAATATCAATTGCTACCAGTGCACAGAATCCCTTACTTTCATATTTATTATTTATTATTATTATTGTTATCTTTTAACATTATAATTAACATGCATATCGTATGGTTAAATTGAGTTAATCTAAATGTAAATATAGTAAATAATATAATGAAAATGAACAACCGCACAACAAAATTCATACAGCAAATGTTCAAAAATTTGTGGTCAATGGTGGCAAAATTCGAGAAGTTTGTTTGACCTCAAATTTTGTTTGGATCGTTTTTTTATTGTTTGGATCAAAATGGGGCGGGGGTGGAGAGCTGAACTTTTGAAAAGTTAAAAAATATGGGTCACCCTAATGTATAAGGTCTATAATGTAAGCCCTTCATGCAAAATCAAGAAGTAATACTGAACATGAAGATTAGTCTCAGCTGGAAAAAGGTTTCAAAAGACAAAACATTTTCTTAAACTGCTATGACCTCAACTGTATTTAACATTCCTCCATTGCTCACAATAACCACAATCAGAATTTCTCCAAAATTTGCACAACTTTCAATGGAATGGCAGTTTTACTACTGATCAGCTGTATACCATGCTTAACAAACTATGCACTTTGCAATTACTGTAAATACAATTTAACAGCCAAATGACAATACACATTCTCACAATTTATGTCCTATTCTCTGCAAATCAAGTGAGTCAATTTCTTTGTAAATCAAATCCTGCCTTTTAAAATTCTGACATGACTAAGTACTCTTCAGAATTATGAACTGAAATAACTTACTTTATGCTTGTCAGTGAATTTTCCTTGTGGAACACTCAGGTCTATTTTCAGTGTCCACATACAGGACCAGTTACATGATACAATTTTCTACAAAAAGCCATTCATACATTAAGAAATCATTTCCTACTTAGTAGAAATAATTAAGACATTATACTTTACAGTTGGCATTAAATTATAAAAGACATTAATTTATATGAATTATAAATGTTAGGAACAAAGTAATTAACATTTCATACCTTTTCACAGTTTAGTATCTTTACTTTGAAACCACTTTTTAAAAGCAAATTTCATTGAAGGTTTAATTTATTGTTGTTGATTTTCAGTCTGAAGTCAACTTGTTCATTTAGCACAAGATTAACAGCTGTCCATTTATCATAACTAAAATAAATTACCATTGAAATGCCTAATATACACAAAAAATTGAATGTTTATATCTCCACTAACATCACACAAGAAAGGATCCAAATCCAAAAGTCCTCTTGATGGAGTCCCAATAATACCGGTCCCAGTTTTCCTTTGTTAAATCCAGCTCACTGAAAAGATAAGTTTAATTAATTTTACAAATGTCTTATAAAATGGAATTGGAAAACTTATTTTCTAATACACATAACTGAAGGCATGAAATAAAAAAGGATGCAAGCACTATTTTCATACTTTCAAGAAGAATATACATACATACATATACTTTTTTAAAATTACTAACAGTAACTAACCAATAACATACATCAATAGTTTAATAATGAAATATTGTCTTAAAGTGTTACAATTTTGTCCTTAAAACTCCACATCTCTTATATTGATTATAGCCAGGCTTTTGACTCTTCCTCTCAAATGGCTAAACAAAGTACTGTAAATTTATAAAATTTGTCAAAATGTAAGAAATATTCCTTAACATTTAATGAATAAATGGCATACAAATAGTGTCCACGGAAATATCTCTGAAAACACTGATGTCCGAAAAGGTATTTTCCAAGACTATTTCTTATCAGCAGTACAGTTTTCCCAAGCGTGAAACACACCACTATCAACTCCTTTGAACAAAACTAAAAGATATTATAGACTGAATATGCAAAATACAAAATGTGCTATAATAAATATTCATAAAGAAACTGTAGAAAATGCAAATCAATTTTTTTGGGGGGTAATATTAAACACTTACTACCTCAAGAAACGTATCGCTATTTGGGAAACCCTCAGAACCAGCAACTGGACCATAATCATATTAAGGAGGAACTTTGAATAAAATATCAAAAGCAACTGACGAAGTTGTTAAATGCTTACTTATCGAGTAATCAACATTTGGGCTGTGCCAGTCCTAACTTACTCCTTTAGTATTGATAAGTGGGCTAAAATGTGATCTGGACAGATCAACGAGAAGACTGTTACATGAAATCCACAGTCTTCATCCTAACTGTTTAAGTATTGATTTGTATAGTGCTGAAAGAAAATGAATAGTTGTAAGGTTGGAAGACACTTAACATAAAAAAGTTGCAAGTTCTTTGAAAGCAGCAGTATGATGAATGATTCTGTTTTGTAAACGTATAATTTCATAATGTAGTAAAATCTATCAGGTTATGGGCCCAGATGTATGTCTGAAGATAAATAGACACTTGAAGATATCTTTTTAGAATCGTAATTGACACAAAAACTATTTGGAGTAAATATGGATTTAGTGAAGTATATTGCTTGAACAGTCAAGCCGACTGGCCGATGTGGAAACGCAAGATATGATATTTGCTGGATTATCACGAAGCAGCTTTAGATGCTAATGAAACTGAAGGAGTTGGCAGCAGATGCTGATTAAGCTGAGTTGAAAGATCACAAAGTGAAGTCTAATTTATATTAAATAGCAATTATATATGCCAAGTCTATGATTACAAGTGCAGTGACAGACATTTTTTATCCGAAAATGATGGACAAAGAAATGGCATATGATACATTAAAGAGAAATTTTGAAGCGTCAACCAAGGATCAGCTGTTCAAAATATGCACAGATTTCTTTACATTCAGTTGGACTAGTGTAGAGGACGTTTCAACACATGTTGCAATTTTGACAGGTTTGTTGGCTGAATAATAGACTTATGGTGAAAGAAGAAAATGTTTTACCCGATTTGATATTAGTATGGAAAGTGTTACATATTTTGCCAGCACGTTTTGATTCATTCATTGGATGTTATTAACTACAGATAAAAATAAATGTTTGATGAATTGAAAGAATTGTTTTAAAGAAATTACATAAAAAATAATGAAAAAGTCAAAAAGAAGCAAAGTATTGATTTGTATTGAAAGTATTTTTAGTAGCAAAATCAAGTTCAGAAGGTAAACAAACTAAAAAGTTCAAAAATAAAGATGTCTGTCATTGGATCAAATATTGCAAGAAATGAATTTCTAATGGAAGACAGTCTAAAAATGTAACCGAGAAGGATGTAAACTAAACAAAACTGTGGTTACAAATGTAGCATTGTTGACAAATTTTAGTAAGGCTTGTTTAATGGAAGTGGATGTGAAAAATTGGTGGATTGACAATAGTGCGATGAAACATATAACAAATAACTCTACGTATTTTATTAGTTTTGATCCATTTGAAAGTCCCTACAGTATTAAGACTGCCGGATAAGAAACTAGATGTATTAGGATAAGAATGGACTTGGATCTTGTCAACAATTGAAAACAGAAATGAAGAAATGACTGAGTGTGTCTGGTATGTACCAAAAGTTTCTAAAAATATATTTTCTGTTTTAGCTGCTCAAGATTATAACATGGATAGTAAGTTTGAGTCAATTCCTACACTTGTTTTAAGTATAAACAATGAAGTGAAACTGTGTGGAATTCGTGACGTCAATGGCACCTTATACAAAGCAGCTATTAAACCTTCGGTATCAGAATAGGGCACCAGTGTAAATCTTGCAGTTGAGGTTAAATCTGACCAATTTAAACTTTATCATGAAAGATGGGGTCATCAAGACAAATGACATGTCAAAGCAAAGCTCAAAAAGAATTTAATATTGAAGTTAAGACAGAATATGACATTTGTGAACCATGTATGTTTGGAAAGGTACATCGTCTACCTTTAGGTACAAGGGAAAAATCAGCGAAGTTGATTTGATTTTGATGGATGTGTGCGGATCTTTTGACGAGTCATTCAGGAAGAAGCGTTAGCTTGTTTTGTTCAAAGGTGGTTGCACGCAATTTCACTAAGGTTATTATGTTGCAAGGAAGTCAGAGGTTAGTAAAATTCTTAGACATCCTCATGCATTCGAAAACATCAGGTTATGCAGTCAAGATGCTGAGTAACAATGGCAAGGAGTTTGACAATGAAGAGGTCAGATCTATTCTGCATTCAAATGGGATCACACAGTGACTGACAGCCACCTCTAACCCTGAGCAAAATGGCATTAGTGAGCGGGATAATAGAACTGTTATTGAGATGGCTAGGACTTCAAAGTATTTGAATCCAGACAAAACTTATCCAGAAGCAATTTGGGCTCAGCTAATTAATACAGCTATCTACATTTTAAATAGAACAGGGAAATCATCTGCAGAAGATATTTATCCTTACGTGTTGTGGATCACAAAGAAGCCTCAAACTAAATATTTCCGGATCATTGACTCAACATGTTATGCTCATATTCCAAATAAAGTACGAAGGAAAATGGATAGATAAACTATGAATCTGATCGGATAAGATGGTGATGAACGATTAAAAAAAAGATGGCGATAAAAAAAACAAAAACAATATTGTTCTGTCCAGAGATATGCTATTTGAAGAGAAACCAGGAAGCTGTATTGAACAGGTCAAACTACCGTTTCAAGATGCTGACACAAAAAAGCATGATTATTGTGATGTTGAAAAGAAGAGTGACAGCGATGAAGATTATGAAATCAGCACAGATGTAGAGCTTGATGATGATTTTCAGAAGTTACATGAAGAGAAACAAGGTGTTACCTTGAGAAATCGTTCAACCTTAAAAAGGTCACAGTATCTCAATATGTAGTTACTGTTGGAGGGAAAAGTTTTCTGGTTTCACTATACAGCTACTTTAGGAAGAACACACCTTTACTAAATCATTTGGGATTACTTTGCTACATCAAATCTGTTTTCAAATGCAAGGAAAATATTGGTGCACTACCACCTTCAGCATTACACTTGGAAAAAGTATCACCAGACCAGCTATGGCTAAGGCCCAGCTGTTCAAACTTGGAATAAAACGCAAATAATTTTTGTTCCATGGAAAGAGGAAAATTCAATTTTATGAAGCCAGAATAGTGCACATTCACATTACACACTTGAGAAAAACTTTCCCATGACTTTTGAAAAAATTTTCATTTAATAACCTCATGACAGAAGCAAATGCAAATGTGGAAGTGTTTAATAGTGGAATTTTCTGTTAGTGACAATGATTTCGTTTGATATTTAATTATCTTCACAAAAATGAAGAAGGTTTCATCCTATGACAGGTCTACTTAACATCTACTATACGATTGGACATTTATAGATTATATTTAATATTGATTTTATTTCATTAACTATCTTGTAGAGTGCCCTAGATAAGATTGACATATTTTCACTTCACTTTTTGAGACATGGAGAGATTTACTGTGTGACAAGTTTGATACAGAAAACTATTTTATCTTCACTGCAATATTCTCTGTCAATATATTTTTCATGTTAAAAAAACACCACCTGTCAGATGAGAATTGAGATGACAGATTTTTTCTTGAGAGTGTGAAGTATTCCTCAATAATTTTTATCACCAACCACCTAATCGGTAACTAAAAGGAAATTGAAAATGTTTTTAATTTTCCAGAGGTTTGAACAGCTATGATCATGGCAATTCATATGAGCAAAAACAGGCTGAAATGTGCGGGAAGTGTGAAGAAACAAATATTTTAACCCAACACTATCGAAAAGAGAACCAACTTCTCTTACATGAACATATCTTTGGGTAAAAGAAGAAATAGTTATCCATAGAATAATGATATTCCATAGAACAGAACGACTTGTTTATTTGTAGAAAAAGCAATTTTAAGTATAAATACTCCTGGAGTTATCCCAACATCGTACAACCAGCCCTTAATGACAAAATAAACAAATTAATCAAAAAATAGAAATAGAAAAGAGCAAAAAGAGGCTTGTGCCTGTGACAACACTGCTAATCCTGATTTTATTGAGGATTGTTTCCTGCAAAAGCACCAAAATCAGACCAAAAATTATTTCTGAAAAAAAGGCAGCAATTCTCTAACTTGTTAACTCTCGCCTCTACTGCAAGAAGAGTTGACAGTTGTTTCTGAAGATGATATGGAGGAAGAGTCGGAATCAAAAAACAAGCTGGAACTGGAGAATGGGATGGAGCCAGATTATCTAGTCATTGAGCAAGTCAAATGAAAGAAAGATCTAGGACATTCCACAAGATATTAGATAATCCAATTCATTATGAAACAATATAATTTACAATGCAATACTGATAATAATGAAAACATCCTCAATATTAACACACTAATTTCATTTGTCTCTTGTGCAGCAGAGGTGGATGCCAGGAACTTCAAACAAGAGGATGGCCGAACATAGGTGAAGTTAGAATTGGCTTTCTAAATTTATTTTTTCATTTTACATTGTTAAATACCTACTTTGGTTTTTCAATTAAAATGTACAATGATTCAGCAGCCATCATATTACCGGACAACTCCATTGCATGTAATTTACTCATACAAGTTAGAGGGAAGGAGGTTAAGTCTCACTGTAACATCCTGACATTTCTTCCATTGGGTTTGATGTATGCAGAACAGGTCAGACAAAAACCCTTAGTATATAAAATGTAGACAATTTTATCCTCTTTCATTTCAGTAAGTTTGACACTTATTAAAATAGTGGGGCTACAGAACGGCCTTGACTTCCTTGCACTACTTAGTTTTCTGATATTTTTTGTCTATGCTAGGTTTCCGATACTGCTCCACTTTCTTTCCAGGTGTTAGCTATCAGCACCAAAACAAAATTTTGTTCCATTTTCTCAATTTTTCGGTCTCCTAATTGTAGAATTGAAGCATGTCTTTAATAATATTACAGAAGAAAAACAAATTTATATCCAAATCCTGTATCCAAATTTTTATTGAAAAGTTTGGAGTCGTTCTTAAGAAAATGTCAATTGAACATTTTTGACAATGCACAATTTTGAACTTGATTTCACAGACAAGTTTTGAGTTTTCGAGAAACTTCATCAAAATCATTTGGACTTGTTTTTAAAATACAATAATGTTAAGTTAATTTCTGTAATGTAAATATCAATGAAGTGATAAGTTTTTTTTAATTACATTTGAGAAATAACTAAAAAAAATCAAAAGAAAAAATTGCAACGGCGTTAATGTCACTTCATTCAGTGCATTTAAAACTAACCATACAAAAAGTTTTAAGAAAAAGTTTGAGTGGTTTTTGAGAAACTGTTATTCAAGGATTGCTGATAAATTAGAATTTCAAGCTTATTTTAAAGAAAAGTATTAAGTTTTTGAGAATCTTCAAACGACATTTGAAGCACTTGTACTCAGAAATAAAATAAAATAAACAAAACCAGTAATGTACATATTAATGACATGAGAGAGTTTCTTAAAAACCTACGTATGTGTAATTTTAGAAATTCAAGAATACAGCAAAGTGGCTTTTATGTCATCTATTAGAGTGCAATTAGCACTATCCCTTCAAAAAGTTCAAAGAGAAAATTTTAAGCCTTTTTGAGAAAATCACAAAATTACACAAAAACTATTCATATTTTGAAAAAAGTGTACATGTCTGCAGTTAAAGATACAATTTTGAAGAACAGATTTAATTCAGAGGAAAAATGTATATCTAAAATACTGAAGATGTGGAAAGATGCTAAGAAACAATTGAACTTGTGCAATTTTCAAAATTTTAAATAAGTCAACATAACTACGCCAGTTTTGTAAGCCTCCTTTACAGTACCCAATGACAATGCCTAATCAAAAAATTTGGAGCCATTTTTCAGAAAAATTGGAAAATGTCCCAGGGGCTTTATGTAAAGTACTTCAAAATTAGATCATATGTCTCAACTTTAAGGAACCACAACATGAGCCAAATGGGAAATATTAGTTATGATGAAAATCCTACTTATGATTTAGCCACTAGTGTTTTTCACAGACAGCAACAGACAGACACCTTTTGCCATAACGTAGTTTTGGGGTATTAAGGACCCACTAAATGTTGATTCAGTGTACAGAACATGTTAGAGGAAGAAATTCGCTACATGCCACTTTATTGAATTATGCATTTATCAGGGACCTCCAATAAAAACTTTTATGTTGATAAATCACTGTTTTTCACTGCAGAATAACATAACTTTCTCTATGCTACATAATAGAAAGAAAGATAATTTTTTGCTTAAACAAGTTCAAGTGGTGTATTTCCAGTTTTACAATTTTTATTTAAGCAATAAGTTTCGTGATACAAAACTTTCAGTCTCTAGATTTAGATAATTTCATCTTCTTTTATTTAATACAGAAGCATAATTTACAACAACAACAACAACAAAAAAGTTATTATTTTAACTGAAAAAGAAAAACTAAAAAAAAATCGACACCAAATATGAGAACTACATCAAAACTTTCCATTGTTTCCTACCGTTTGACAGAATAGAGAAAAATATTATAATAAATAACACAAGAGAAAATGTATAACCTACCTTCTTGGAACACCAGTTTGTGTGAGAGAAACTTGTGTGTGGTCTTCCTTTTGATCAATGTCTATCGTGACATTGGAATAATGTTCTGCAGGCCATTGTTTTAATCTCCATCTCTGAACTATCCTCGTATTAGGAACCTTACAAAATTACACATAATACTATATTTAAAAAAGAAGACAATAATAGTTTAAAAAAATAAACACCCAACATACTGCACAGGGGGGCAGGGCACACCTAGTTCATGATGACAAAAAAAATTGGAAATGCTAAGTAAGCAAAATCAATTCAAAACAAAAGAATTGTATGTTATAGTAAGTCCTCCTTTTGAACAGGCGTAAAATATATGATGAAGATTGCATTGATTTTTTTTTTTTTAAGTCTATAAAATATAACTGTAATTCAGTTCCGTTTAGTGACTATTGATATTGCATTGTATTATAAATTTTACATTACACAATATATCCTGTATTTGACGTGATAAAGTGATCTAGTGTAATGTACTTCCAAGTGAAGTGAACCCAATAAAAAAATCTACGTCACGAATTCAAAATGGAAACTTCACTATAAAAAAATGAAAATCCCATGTCCCAGTTCAAAGATGCTTCCATGTAATGTTACTTCAAAGGACTCTACAAAGAAATTAATCATAATTTGTTCGATGAAGATATAAGTTGAAATCATGAAACAACCAAGTGTCCAGTGCTAGCACCAAATGTGTACAGACTATTTATCTTATGATTAGCAAGATAATTATACATATTTACCTGTTATTAATGATTAAAATCAAATTACTTTTTAAAATAAAGCTTTTTTCAAGTTCTTCAATTTAAAAATGGCATCTTATGAAAATATAAGGATCATTTTAATTAAGTGAAAGGTTAAAGGGCAAAGATGCACCCTTATGAAGTTATTGAAGATCAAACATGCTGGAGTGAAAAATACTGAATCATTTTGTATGAAAAGCTTTTGATGTAATACAGTGGAATCTCGTTTAGCACATTCCTCATTAACAAGTTTTCCTGCTATGCACGTACATATTATAAAGTCCCCATACCAATTCCACATAATTATTTGTTTACACGTTTAACAATCTTGCTTGGCATGCTCAAAGTTTGTGTACGTAACTTGCTTCATGAGGGAAACGCGTCTTCCGGTGCACCAGGACTATTTTCAATGTTTATTGTGTTCAGGTACTTTTAGGTACTACTTTTACTTTGATTTTGCTGAACCTTATGCACAATTTTTTTTCTTTTAGGCTTGTGACACATGATTGTTGTGTGGTAACATAACACTGTTGATGCCAACTGCATCAATGCCCATACATAACATGTGTCATAGATTAACAATGTACCTTCAACAAAACAGTTCTTAGCAATGTGTGCTGTGCACATCAGAGCACAATGACCAAGCAACAATGCAAGTCAAGATAATGCGCAGTTTCTAGCTATCAACAGATGACACCTGCTAGGGAACCCATGGATATTTGCGTGTTATTTCTTTATCAGTGGCAGAACTTCCAATGGTGGAGCCGGTGCAATGCATGGGGGCCTCCGGGTCTAAAGGACTGTGCACACTACCTAAAAATGTTCCAACTTTCAAGTATTTTATATAATAATTTCAACTTGTAGTTTATTGAAATAAAAAGTAACAAACTTAAACTTTCACTTTCAATATTTTCCCATAATTACTTTCTTCGATTGTCATTTATATTAAAAGGTAAATAAAAAATTACAGACATTGAATAAGTAAAACAATAATACATTATTGCCGAGGACACCACTACACCAGAGGCTATTACTGTGTTTTATGTATAAAGGAAGTATACAAAAAGTTGAACAAGAGGGAAATAATACATTTCCCTCATCACATGGTCACGCTTGTTTTGCTGATTCTCCAAGGCACATAAAATAATAAATAATTATCAAAAATATCATCAATAACTCTCTATGGAAGGACATTTATGACAGCAACTGTCATGGGCCATAAATAGCATTGACGTTTAATTTTTAATTAATTAAAAATACTCATTTTCAACAACATTAATATCATACTTTTTAAAAACAAAATTAATAGCAATAAAAAGTTTAAATGATTATTATCAATATTTTCATTTTTAATATCTAAAAAAATATTAATTTTAAAATTTAACACAAAATCTCAATTCAACAATCTATCTTTTTAATATGTGAGTTATTTAAAGGAATTTAGATAATTTTTTATTTCTTTTTTATGGAAAATATCTTAATGCAAGCCATTTTGTATATATTTTATAATAAAAGGTTCTTCAAATAACACAATTTTTTGGAGAGTAGGAAGTTTCAGATGATTTTGTTACCAGGGCCCCTGGAATGATAGTTCCACCACTATTCCATATCCGTTAGTTTTCTCTATTATAGTGGTTTGAAGACGAAAACATGAAAACCAAGTATAAAATTTGCATTTTGCGTTAGCACATTTTCCCCGCATACAACGTTCAAAAATTTCGGTCTCTTGAAAAACATTAACGAGATTTAACTGTATAATGAACCTTTTGTCAAAAGCCAGAAAAAGGTCATTATAACGAACCTTCAATTATAAAGTTTCTCTGGATATCAAAGTTCTTAAGCTTTCCAGATTTTCAAAGATATCGTAATTTCCAGGTCTTTTAGTCCTGAAATTCCAGTTTACGTTGACTCAACATTCCCCCAAAATATTAATAATAAATGTGTACCTAGTTTTTTTTTTAAATTTTGATAAGGCAATGAAAATTAAAACTACGGGTGAAACTAAAGGTGAATAGGGATCCAATTAAATGGCTTCACCCACGACGTATGTGTTGCAAAACAAACCACATGAATAGCAATATTTCATTATCGTATAATACATATAGGGTGTCCGGGGACGAAACCTTGAAACTTTCTAAAATAAGATCTTAAGACAATTTGAAGCATATTTTGTCTAATAAACTACTTAGATATTCTGAATGGTTGGGCCACAATAAGTACTCAAAAGTTGGTTTGAAAAAATGCTTTCTCAGTAAAAATTTGCATTGCAGAAGCATAGAAACATGTAAATTGTTTATTATTTACAAAAGAAATTAATATATTTGCACAGAAAGAAAAATTAACACAGAAATAAAATAGTACCAAAGAACTCGACAAGTACCAAAATTAAATTCATCTTTAAATTCAAAACTGAATTAAATTCTTCTAAAATTAAAGCCTCCAATGCTATACAAGTACCACAAATTTTGTCTGTCAAAACCATATGTATACCATGTGTATATATATGTATATATATGTTGTGTTCATTCATGGTGTGTTTGTTTTCCATGTCTTGGTGTTCCAGTTCGGTGGGTGTGTCATGTTGAAGTCATTGTGTGTGAGTGTTCCCAGTTGTCAGTGTTTTGAGGGTCAGTGTCCAGTTGTGTTGTAGTCGTGTCATTGTCATTTGTAGTGTGTCAGTGCCCATTGTGTGGGTGAGGTGTCCAGTTCAGTGTGTTGCGAGTGTGTCATGTGTGTTGCAAGTGTTCAGGTCGAGTGTCAGTGTCTGCGTTTCATGTGCAGTTCTGCACTTCAGTGTCAGTTCTACTGCAGTTCTGAGCTCAGCTGTGTGTGTTTGATGGTCAGAGTGTGTGTTTGCGTGTCTGTCACATGTGTTTTGCGTGGCTGATCATAAGCGCGTGTCTTCTCGTGCTAATGAATTAATTTATAAAAATCAATTGTGGAGTGTAATATGGATAGATGTTATGGACTGATGATGGTCCATGTTAACTTCATCACAAACAAAATACTCTTGTCTCTCAATTTTAGAAAAAATACTCCCTATTATTATTCACACAAGTAAAGATATGATATTTAATAAGGGGATGGGGTATTGAGAATTATGAAAAGATGAGTACATATGATTAATAAATATTAAACTTATGTGTATATAATATATATATATCTATATTATATATTCATATATATATATTATATATA